GGCGGCTCTGTGGCAACTTGCCAGAGCCCTGCTGTTGGAGCCTCCTGGCAGTGACGGTGCTTGATGCCCCGTGTCTCCTCATTTCTCTGCCCTACCTGCACTCCGGAGAGCGGGCACCCGGCAGGGTAAGGGAGCAACCTCGCCTTTACAGCCCTGCGTGCTTTCATTCCACCTTTCTTAAGTGACTTCCAGAACCTAAGCACTAGGCCGCACTTCTCCTCCTCTGGAAGATGTCTTTTAAAGGCACGTTTTCCATTTCCTGAAACAGATTTCTGTCCCTTGCTTGCAGTCTGTCTCTGCCAGGAGGATGCTTCACCTGGGTATCAAACCTTTTGTGTCACTTGTTTGATCCACAGCTCTGCCTCTGCTGTCTGATCCCTGCACAGACGTCTGTGACTCTCCCAGCTCTTGGCTACACAAGAACTTTCATCTTGCCCTGAGATCTCCTTATGAAAAGTCCTTTTTCGTGTCTCTGCCACCTCCTCCTCTGACAATACATAGACTGTTACCTCAGTTGTGTCTTTCCAAAACGTTATCACCATCCTTTAGTCCTGCCTCCACTTTTGTTCCCAAGGGCTAACTTTTATCCTGCCTGTTGTCACACCTTTAATGGTTTACTTTCTCTGAAGGTGCAGCCAGTGACTGTTCAAATGCAGCTAGATTTTGTCGTTAGTTAAAACCTTAGTAAAGCCCACGGCATGTATCCTGGAAAAGAAAATAATTTGAATTTCATCTCAATTACTTCTGAGTACTTTTCTGAGAAAAATGTTTATGTTGCTCTTAGCAAGATGTTCGCATTATGTGCAATTGTACATTTCCAAGGTTGAGACCTATTTTGTGATATATAGTACTAATGTCAAGAACTTATCTGGTGTTTTTATATTATAAAACCATTTTGATTCCTTTCTGATAGTTACAAATGTGCTTTCTGACTCTAATGTGATTATAGTTTTGTGATAATAAGCTGGCACTTAAAAAATTGGTAAAGTTTCTTTCTGTGTTCTTTTTTGTCTTTTAGGGTTTCAGATTATTTCTGGTTTTAAAGATTTTCATTTTACAAACTGCATAGTTCCCGTAAGTGTCATGTAAGGTTTTTTGTGTGTTCTTCAGAAACTTCATTGTCTCATTGTAGTTCTTCTTTTTAAAAGACTGTCACTGGAAATGCCATATTCTGAAAATGGCAGGAAAGAGAAAACAAGGTGTACAGTGGCCAGGCTGATTTGAATCACAGATTAAAATATCACTCAAGAAGCACTTTTGGTTTTAGTTTTGCTTTGAATTTGTATTTTAGCTAATTTCATAATAATTATTATATGTTGTTTCTCAATATTCAGTTAAACTTAGGCCCCACATTTAATTCTTTCTATGAATTTTAAGGACATAGCATACCTGCACAAGTGCTGGGACCATATCACTTCTTACTAGAAGCAGAAATAATCCTAAAGATTTAATAATTTGGATAATGACAAAAGTACCTGAGTGGAGGGAAGAATTGGAACAATCCAGCTAAACAAAAATTGCATGTACAACATTATGGCAGAGGTTAGGGCAGGTGGCTTAGAGAGCTGAGGACATGGAAGTAGCGTGGCAAAAAAATTCTACCTCTCCTGTTTATCCTGATCCCTGTATTTGGAATTTAATTGTGTTGTTGGCAAAGTTGGGTGTCATCAACTTGCCAAAGGTGATCGCTGGATGGCAGGTGCTCTGCACAGAATCACAGAATGTCAGGGGTTGGAAGGGACCTCAAAAGATCATCTAGTCCAGCCCCCCTGCCAGAGCAGGATCACCTACAGTAGGTCACACAGGAACGCATCCAGATGGGTTTTGAATATCTCCAGAGAAGGAGACTCCACAACCTCCCTGGGCAGCCTGTGCCAGGGCTCTGTCACCCTCACAGGGAAAAAGTTTTTTCTAATATTTTTGTGGAACCTCCTACGTTCCAGCTTGAACCCATTGCCCCTTGTCCTGTCATTGGACATCACTGAGACGAGCCTGGCTCCGCCCTCCTGACACTCCTCCTTGACATATTTATAAACATTGATGAGGTCACCCCTCAGCCTCCTCTTCTCCAAGCTAAAGAGACCCAGCTCCTTCAGCCTTTCCTCATAATCATCTCCTCCCTTAATCATCTTTGTGGCTCTGCACAGGACTGGACTCTGCTCATCCTTACGGCAATATTTGTTTATGTCTATTATGTAATGGGTTTTGTGTCATTTTCATTTCTATATAGTGTCATTTCTTGTTTACTAAAGGAATGTAATTTCTTATTTATTAAAGTGTTTTCTCCATCCAGAGTACACCACAACATAGATTACTGAACAGTAATAGTATTCAAAACTAGTATTTTCCCGGTTTATAATTTTATTAACATTTGAAAACTTATCTTTTCCCAGGAATAATTTATGTTATTCATTATAGTGTCAGACTTGTTAAACAGGCAGTAGACTATTTTTATTAGGGACATTTTAACCTCATTACATACATATGTATGTATACATCATGTAGCTGGTGCATTGACATTCAGCAGACGTGTACCTAAATCAGTATTTAAGCTTGTATACAAAAAATTATTTTTGCATTCTTTTTAGCAGAATACTTTCTTTCTTCTTACTGGAATTGGAATTAATTTTCTGTATTCTTTCTTTGCTGCTTTACATTTCTGTTGTTTTCTCTCGTTTATTCCGCTTTGGTTTTTTGCATCTTGAATCTACTTGCTCTTCTGTTTTTGTTCCTCCACCCTGGCCATTCCTCGAATTGTTACTGCTCTAAGTAAGTGTACTCAGCCAGCCTATTTCACTCTGGGCTGTTCTGCTGAGTACCGTAATGCTGCTCAGATTTCTGTAGCTACCATAAAGGCAGACTGTAGCAAATTTCTCTTTTGCTGTAGGCCTCAAAGTACAGAAGTAAGGGGGAACAGTGCAGGATTAGGAAATGTTTTTCTAGTGCACTTACTCAGTCTCATGTCAGTCTTTGGACCTGGGGATTATAACCTTAGATATTTTGTTGTACACAGATGCACTACTTTCTATATTTTTAATCTTTTATTTCTATTCTAGGAAGCAATGCTCTAAGAATGTCATCAGGCATCCAAATAAAACCGAAGACTGCAGCATGTAAAAGCAAGACATCTTTGCTCTGTTCTCCAGAACCTGCAATTAAACCACAGTCAAAACCTAGTGACAAGCTGAACCCTAAAACTATTGATCCGGTATGTATGGCTGCTGAGTTATCTCTCGGTGGAAAACATATCTCTTAGTGGAAGAAAATTCCTTACTTTTTGAAATACGTGCCAGGTAATGCTTCTTCTGTTTTTGTTTTGTAAGTTTAAACTAAACTTTTGTTACTAGTTGTACATTCCTTAATTTCTGTGCTCAAATGCCTGAGGCATAACATGTTAAATACTTTTTTGTTTGTTTGTTTTAAGAGGGGTTTCGGTACTGTTTTGGATTGGATGGTAACTTTCTTGCTTTCTATGTACTTTTGCCCTGAAAAGAGATTTAGAGCTAAGAGTTAAAAAGGGTTTGGTTTTCTTTTGGTTATAGTTATAAATTTTGGCAGCTGCTGCTTTAGAGGAATCGATCTTGATTATGCAATGAAAGCAAGAAGCAGGTAGCGTTTTGAAGATCGTCAAGACATCATAAAAAGCTAGCAAATTGTTTGCTAGTGAGCATTACTTGAAACTCACAAGTACTGTGAATCTGAAATACTTTGGGAAGAATTTAGGCTCTCAGGAAAAGACTAACGAAACAAGTTGTTTATTTCACCAAAGTCCTGCACCTGCAGAACTAGCTTTGAGGGGGTGAGCTTACCGCTGCACGATATCAGCCAAACAGTTAGTAATGCCACAGACTTTTTGGAAGATGAACTAAAGGCAGGAGTACTTTGGTGAAGTGCTAGTTTGCCATAAACAGAGGCTGAATTCTTTTGTATGGACGTTTTTTTTTTCCTTGAAACCTTTTTGCAAATAGTACAGTGACTTAATTAAGACAAGAAGTCATCAAATCATGCACACAATTTTAATGATGTCAGTGTAGGTTCAAACACTTGAAAGATAAAAATTAAGATTTCATGGTATTATTTCCTGCTAATACTTTGTGATAAGGTGTTTATTCTGGGAAGTAGCATTGAATGATCATGCTAATAAATAATATCACTGCTCGTATGCATAAGAAGCGTATATATAATAAAAACCAACTTTGTGCAGGCATTCTTCCTGTGAAGCTCCTAGGTTCCTTCTCCAGTGAGCCCATCCAGGATTCTCAGCCACTATGAAACTCCCACTGATTTCCATTGCCCTCATACCATCTTCCCCAACATTTGGTGTTTCCACTGCATCTTCCCATCTTGTATTTTTATGCATACTTGAATGAAGATAGAATTTCAGTAAATCTGCTTTCTGCATGTTACAAATGTAACAACAATAAGAGCATCAGGAAAGTGAGGGGTCCTTAATCTGTTAAGGAGAGAACCCGTAAGATTTCAATGTTAAGATTTGCAAGAGAAAATAGAAAAATAAGGATATTCCATCAGGAGAGCCCCGATCCTACATTATTTATTCATTTGCACAACTTCCTAGCCAGACAATTCTGAGAAGTAGTTTTCTGATAAATGTACCAAATGTTTTCTCCCCTGTACCTGCAGTTATTTTTTGATTCATTTTAGAATCATATGAATAAGTTCCTTTTCTAGTAAACTGCAATTTTCACATATTCACAATAATTATAAAACTCTACTGTTATCAATGTTATCAATAAGTAATGTGTTTTTTTTTTCCCTTTCCTCACAGTTCAGTGCTTATTCTCGACCACCTTCTGCATTTGCTGCTATATATGCTAAAGGTGGCATTCCATGCAGGTGTGTTTGTTTTATTTTTTTACTAAATATATTATGGTTAGTTAGAATTACACAGACTGACATACATCTACTCATGTTTGATCTTTTAGTTAGGCTGTTTCATCCCATTCATTTCTGAAAAGAAATTTTCCACATCTTTGGAATTGTCTTCCTGGGTTTCTTTTATGCTGTGTTGATACTGAAGCTGTATTTTTAAAGAATATCTAGGTATTTGCCGATTTGGTTTGCTAAACCTGTTTCATGAAAGAAGTTGATTCCTTCAGGTAATGATGTTTACTTCTTCCTACTAAGAAAGATAACAAGATTAGTGTCATTTTAGTAAGTAGACATCTTGCAGTCTTTTTTGTCTGAAGTAAGGAGTTTGAAAACGTTTTCTTGAATATACCAATTCTATAGTTGTGAGCAATATCAGGTATTAACAAAACTACCTGTTAAGTAATAATTTGTGGTATTCTAAGTTACTTTTGCCTATTATCTATTTGCCTAGACAATAAGAACTTTACCATTGTCAAGGGGATGCAGAATTACTTAGCAAAAATTGAGGCAATCATTAATACGTGTATATACATGTATAAAATAATCATTAATACGTAGCCTTCATCTTTATCTTAGGAGTAACTGGTGAATTTCAATATGATTTTTTTTCCAGTTTCAACTGATCTACCTTACCAATTGTTATTTGAGGAAAATGTTTCTTGATATTTATCAAAATAAGTAACTTTGCAAAGGGAGCATCTTCTGTGTTGCTTCTGTGTTGGGAGCAGAATTTGCAAAACTACTGTATTTGGGAATTAGAATAATTAGAATAATACCATTGTGCATTTCACTGAGATTCCCGCTCGGTCCCCATGTGTTGCCTGGTCTAGTTGAGAGGCGGCGTCCCTGCCCATGACAGGGAGGTTGGACTAGATGATCTCTAAGGTCCCTTCCAGCCTAGGCCATTCTATGATTAGTATGTGTTGAAACTGTTTTATAACATTATAGTAATATTGCAAACCAGTTGGTGATATATTTAAAGTGAATAATGTTAGCAATAAATTATGTATTGTTATACATTATTTTGTTTAAAATTTTGTTTTTATACAGGTTAGTGCATGGCTCAGTAAAGCACAGACTGCAATGGGAATGCCCTCCGGAAACTGTTCCCTTTGATCCTCTTCTTGTAACATTGGCAGAGGTAAATTAAATTTTCTTGCAAAGTGAAGGATTTCACTAATTGCATATGGCATTTTGTAATAAGTTAAGCTAGTTAACTTAGACTTACCACTAGGGAAATATGAAAAAACATTTGTGATGATCTTGTATGAATGAAGATAGTCAGGAACGTTGCCATTTGTACTTCTTTAGGTAGAGCATTCTGGGAGAGCTAGGTAGAGCTTTTTAACCTTTAAGATATTGGCCAAATACAAGACTGCATCTCAGATCATAGAATGTCAGGGGTTGGAAGGGAGCTCTAGAGATCATCCAGTCCAACCCCCCTGCCAGAGCAGGATCCCCAAGGGCAGGCCACACAGGAATGCATCCTGGCAGGTTGACTCCACAACCTCTCTGGGCAGCCTGTTCCAGTGCTCCGTCACCCTCACAGTAAAGAAGTTTCTCCTTATGTTGAGGTGGAATTTCCTATGTTCTAACTTAAACTCATTATTTCTTGTTCTGTTGCTGGGCACCACTGAGAAGAGATTGTCTCCTTCCTCTTGACACCTGCTCCTCAGATATTTATATATGTTAATAAGGTCCCTCAGCCATCTCCTTTCAAGGCTAAACAGCCCCAGTTCTCTCAGTCTCTCTTCATAGGAGAGATGTTCAAGTCCCTTAATCATTGTTATAGCTCTCCGTTGGGCTCTCTCCAGCAGATCCCTGTCTCTCTTGAATTGGGGAGCCCAAAACTGGACACAGTATTCCCGGTGTGGTCTCACCAGGGCAGAGTAGAGGCGGAGGAGAACTTCTAGGGAATTTCATGGAGCAGTTGGACATGAAATGCTTTGATCCATTTGTGGCTTTGCAGGTTCTTTGTAAACAAAACTGGTTTAGTTCTTTCTGTATATAAAGCCTGCCTCTTGAACTAAGAGTGCTCTCCCCCACAGACTGAGCTAATACAGTGGAGATAGGATTCTCTAAATAAGTGAAAGAGATACAATACATTATGTTCAGGCTTCTGTTCACTTAGTATCATCTGTAACACTTATCACCAAATATGCACATACGTCACCAAATATGCACATACACTAGAGGTAGCTTCTGTTGTGTGGTTTTTTTTAAGATTAAACAAAGCTCTCAGTTCCTGTTATGGAGAGAAGAAAGACTTCAGCCATAGGGCTTTAAATCTTTGAGTTCTGCCAGGCAGGTCTTTGCTAGAAATGCGTATATGTACCATCTACAAGTTTTTGGTGTTGCAGAAGTGTCTGTGTGATGAGGGGTGTCTTTCTTTCCATAGTTCAACTTCTACTTTTTTTTTTTTTTTTAAACTTCAGGGTACAAAAACCATTTGCAATTACAGCCTATCCTTGTTCATGGTCTTGTTGTAAAATTAGCTTGGGTAATTAGATTAAAGGTAATGAAGTACAAATATTGATTAAACTGACAGTATTCATAATGAGAGAGTTAATATTCAGTGTTCCAAAAGAAAAATGAATAGTATTCTGTGAGCAGAGTTGTACTCAATGGCTCCACATGGTGGAGTTAGTGTATTTTGTGTTTTGAACTGACATAACAAAATCTAAACATGATCTTGCTGCTATGTGGAACTTTTTTAATGTGTCTTTATTTTAAAAAAGGCTCATTATTAATCAAACATGTTTTACATTTGCAACAGGGTCTAAGAGAGACGAAACATCCCTATACATTTGTTTCAAAGGAGGGTTTTAAAGAATTACTTCTGGTTGAAGGTGCTACTGAAAAAACAGTTCCCTTGTTGCCTCGTCTAGTTCCAGTGTTAAAGGCTGCATTGGTATGTCTTGCTCTTCATGCTGAGATTTTAATGGGCTAGATTTTTTGTTTCTTATGCTGATGAGGACTATGTGGAAAATATTAATGTGATAAATGTATTGCAGGGGCCTCTGGTTTGGAGTTTGGGGGGATGGAAATAGTTTCTTTTTGTCATGTTAACCCTGCCTGGGATTTATTAGCTAGATACATCTTCATTTTCAATTCAGATGGAAAACTCCTTATATGGATGTATGACAATATCTATGGGCAAATTCTGTGGAAATGTTCTGTTAAAGATCTCAATATAAGCAGAAATAAATACATGAATTTGTGGTTTTCCTATATATCCACATAATGAAAAGCAAAGAAAAAATGAGGTGAAGTAAAATGGAGATGTGGAAATAAATACTTATCTGTTACATTTAAAAATTCAAAACGTGCTACAAAGATAAAACAAAATACGCCAGTGAGGAAAATGGAAGAATACAGTTAAAATGTTGGAGGTCATATACTTAATTTTTAAAATGTTTTAATGTTTTTACTCCTTCAGAAAATAAAGTGAGGTAAAAGTATTGGCCTCAAAGGTAATCTCTTGGAATTTTTTCATATATCTTTCAGAGCCCTTTTCTGGTTCAGCTACTTGCTGTTCTTTAATCTAACTGTGTTTCTGTTCTGGTTTTATAGAAATGGCTGAAAGTTTGAAAATTCTGTATGATCTCAGAGGCGTAATAGAAGATCAGAACTGTGTGTTATCAGTATCTTTGGTTTAGTTTGGTAGACAAAATTAGAAAAAATATACTTCTCTGTTCTTCCAATTACTGTTATTCATCTGATAATTTTCATTGTTGCACTGGTTTACTATAAGGTCTCACTAAACGTTTTGCTACAAAACCAGTTCATGACTTCTAGTTAGAAAAAAAAAACCAAAAACATTCAGGATCCAAATGCCAGAGTGGAAAAATAACTTTAAATAAAGGTCAGTGTTAGTACAAGAACAAAATGAATTATTATGAATCAATATCTCTGCTAAAGGAAGAGCGAGATAACTAAACCATTGGAGAACTCAGGTATAGAAGAACCTTCTCATGGGAGTAATAAGGATGACAAAACACCCTAGAAGTAGATAAGAACTTGATAATTGCTGGCAGGTGACAAAGCTGGAGTTGGCAGAACACTAAATTAATCGAGCCAGAAATCATTGCCTCCTTGTGTTTCTCCAATAAAGACAATTATTGTTATGAATGACATAGAAATTACCCTGAATTAATTACATTTGTAACTGAAATGTTTTCTTCCAGTTTCAACATACCTGCATTTGAAGAGTTCGTGCTCATATGCCATGAAGCACTGAAATTGTTGGTGTAGTAAACAGTTTGTTTTGCAAGTTGCATTTATTTAAACAATAATAAATTATTAGTTTCTTTGTCTCAGAAGAAATGCAAGAGTTTCACAGACATTTTCTGGATACTTTTGTTTTCTACTTTAAAACTATACTTCTGTTTTTAAGCATTACCTCTAGATAATAATATATTGTAATTGTATGTCTAAACTTGTAACATTATAATTAGCAGGTGCACAGTAGTTTTAACAATACTGTACACAACCATAATGTAGAGACCGCAGTTTTGAGCCACTTGTGCATTTGACTGGATCCTACTGAAAGGATTTTCTTTTTTCCCCCCCTCTGAAGGCCCATTCAGATGATGAAGTATTTGGAAGGGGACTGGATGCTTTAATTCAACTGAGTGCCGTTGTTGGCCCATCTCTTAATGATCATCTTAAGCATCTACTCACCAATGTAAGTTTTTAATGCTCTGGTAAGAAATAATCTGTATTTTATGGTACTTTTGTTGAGATGTTTACAGTAATAACTGCACAGATAAAGTGAAGGAGTCAGCAGTTCCACAAAAAAGCTTTACTTCATATATTCCTCTGTGTAAGTCAGTCCATCATTCTTTAATAAAATGGTGAATTATAAAGTTCTAACAAGGTCCAAAAACTGCTGTTAACAGAAGTTAACAGGAACCAGCTTCAAGCCAGAGGCAAAATAGATGCTATGTTTTGAAGGGAAGTTTATGTTTATTGCAAAATGTGTTTTGCATTTTAAGCCTGAGTATTTTAAGAAAATATGTGTAAGTTTCAATAAATTAGCATAAGTAAATATTTCCATTTCTTTCAGATGGGAATTCTGCACAAGGAAGTTTTCATTAAAAAACTTAGAGTGGGATTATGGAAAGTATTTTACACTGAGTCCTTCTGTAGATATTTGTCCCCTATCAGACAAGCTTTTCATGGTTTTGCTTAGCCTGCTTCCAAAGTACACTTTTACAGCAAAGTAAAAGCACCTTTTAGACATCCAGTGCAGAAGAGAGAAATTGCCATGGGTTTTTATAGCAAAAAAAAAAAAAAAAAGTGTTAACTTTTCATGTGGATAGCACTTTAAGAACTACTTTTTTTTCTTTTAAGGGTGATACCTCTTTAAACTTTGTTTGCTAGAAGAAAAAAAGTAAAATAACTAACAATATCTGTAAAATAAGTGTATAAATATAATAACAGCTGAGTTCTTTTCATATGTTTCTCATCAGTTAACATGTTATTCCTTTTGTCTTGAGTTCCATACTTTGACATCAATTGCAAGCTACAAAGTGCTGTTTCTTTTTGACTTTAGTTTTCCAAAGAAAAGATGAAATGAACTAATAAAATAGAATTATATTTGCCTCTTTTCATATATTGTGCAATTTTTATTTTACTGTTCCAATAGCTTTCAAGGAGATTAATGGACAAGAAATTTAGAGAAAAAATTACTGCTGCTTTACAAAAGTTGGAGCAGTATGGCGGAAAGGTGAGTTGATTATTCTGTAATCTGCACATTTGAATGCATCTTTGTCAAGATAACTTTCATCTCTGGCTTTCAGATTAAGAACCCCATTCTGAAAACCACTTACTTTTACATGTCATAACTACTCATATTGCAAAAAACACAGGATTTTTGCCCAGTGGCAATCAGCAGTGTTGTTTTCCAGTCCACAGTCTGACTTACTGAATGGTAATAGAAATAACATTAAGTCTACTTCGAGTAATCCATATTCTGCCAGTTAGAATTTTGTTGTCACTTTTTTTTTTTTATGTCCCACTTTTCATTTGAATTCTCTGTTGTTTTAATCTCTGAGCAGGAAATACAGGAGTATGTTTTAGTAAAATATTCCAAGGGTAAGAGGGCGCATGGCTTGACTCTTACAGCATAGCACACCAAGCCCCATTCAGGAGGACTCTTTTTTTGGGAGCAAGTGTGCATCCATGTACACTCCTACCCATGATACTTGCTCGGAACATTCCATTGTCCTTGTTGGAGAGCTTATGCAGACTTAGTGGTTAAATGAGACACTTGCTGTTCCTTCTTGAAAAGTCTCCGTTTCTCTAGAAAGTCAAATTTTTTTTCCAGGAGTTTGAGCCGATGTGACAAATGGTTAGTTCCATGGGTAAGATTGCGTGGGGATGCCTCATAGAAGTCCATACTCCAAGTCAGGAATTGCAGCACTTAGTAGATGTTTATACTGAGTAAAGGATGTGAGCTTCTTGTATGGACCATAAAGTATGCTAGATGCCTATCCAGGAGTTCACCAAATGTCAACTAGTAAATAGCTTCTGACCCCTTCTGGAGTGTTGTCACCTGACTCAGGCCAAATATTCATCTTGCTTCACTATGCCTGGGATGCAGGCTTTGTGGTCCTATGTCTGAGCCTAAATGCTTTTCTCAACAGGATTTACTCTTGCTAGATGATACTTTTTGCTGTTATTGATGATGCCTCCCCATTCCCACTAATAGCTTATTGTCTAGGTCACTTGCTGAGGAAATCAGATACTTGCATTCCAGCCCACCCTGGTTAGCCCTGACATTAGACCTGCAATTGCTATAAATCCAAAAATGCTATAAGTAATAGAGGTCAGCGCATTCTTTTGCTAAACAGCCTGTTGCCATTTTTTGTTGTGCTCTACATTGTGCAGAAAGGAGGAGAAAAAAGTGAGGGTGTGTTGGCTTTGGATATTCATCTGGAAAGTATTTGCATTCTTGACCCTATGAACACTTGCATGGTATTGTATTAAGTAGTCATTGGTTAAGAATAGGAATAACTTGCATAGCAGGGACCATAAATACAGGTCTACCAGCTCTGAGCTTGTGTGCCTTAATCAGTGGGCACCCAAATAATCAATAGCTAGCATTTTTGTGTGTGTGTGCTTATCATCATTGAAGGGCAGCAGCAGTGTTTGTATTACAAACTTGAAAAACATCACAGCAGATAGAGAAGCATGAGAGGATTTTATTTATGTGTAGTGTGACATGATAAGGAATATTGTGTCTCATCTTGATGTTCTGAAAATTTAGCTCTAGATAATGTAACGAATCCAGTAAATCATTAACCTCTAATTCTTCTCTCTGTCCCCTGATTTCTTCTAGTCCTACTGGTTGTGTGGGTAGGTTTTTCTGTGTGAAGATAAAGCAGAAAACTGGAAACAAACCCTAAATTGTGACTACAAGCAATATTATATAATTCAACTTACGATTTATACAGTTCACAGAGACTATACAAATACTTGCATATGTAGCAATACCGCTTCTTATTTTGTTTACATTTGTTTTGTTGTCATCAACAGGCAACTGTGGCTATCATCAAATCTAAAATTCCAACCTATTGTTCTGTCTCCTCTTGAACAAGAAAACAGTAGTGATTTGCACTGTAAGGTGAATTTTGGAAAGAAACTGCCTGTGAACATGACTGACTCTTGTTTGGGGTATGATATACGCTCTTAAAATGATCACAATTCTTCAGTATGATGGAGAGTGGAAAAAGCCGTGTCAGTTTGTGAATATGTAATTATGGACAACTGAAATAATTCTCTGTGTACTCGCTGCTATTTTCAAATGCATTGTGCTTACAATGACATTGACTAACTGGCTATTATTGCAAAAGCAGAGTAAATATTGATCCTTATTTTGTTGTAAATCACAATTTCCTTTAGTATAGCTGCAGTGCTTGTGTGATGCAAAATAATTTGGCTCTAATTACTTAAGCAGTAACTAACTTCGTGTTAAATTACATATGTATACCCACTTTTGAAACACGTAACTTTTTCTGTGCCAGAGGCGCAGATGGATGCAGTTTGGCTTCATCAGGACTTACTGGTTTAGATGCAGAACTACCAAAACTCATCTTGATGTCTTGAAAATGAGTTTTTAAAGGGATGAAGCTGAACAAACTGAGCAGGTCACACATAGTGCAAAACTCAACTTGCTCAGTGCGTTCTCAGCACGTTGTTTTGAGAAGCTGGAGAGGCTCAGGAGAATACAGTGCAGATGCAACAAGTTGCTCCATAGAGCCACAGCCTAGGTTTTCCTCAACTAATTAGTCCATTTAGCTATGGGCCTGCTGACTGGGAGTTAGATCTAGGAGGCAACTTCAGTGTATTTACGCTGTGCTCCATCGAGTTCTGTAGTGCCACAGGTAGCTCGTGAATTCTGCTCCAGAAAAGCTAATAAACTTCTGAGTGGAAGCTGTGGAAAAAAGCATGAGTTAAAGACAATAAAAAAAGATTGCAGAAGCCAGCTTACCTGGCTGTCAAGCCCTGTAGGAAGCACTAGTTGTCCATGAACGTATTTGAACTTGATTGCAAAATAATTCCTAACAGGTCTGGTAATAAATACTGTTCAGGGCTCATGTTATTATGGATATATGAGTTACTCTGTGACAGAGCAAGCTGAATGAACTGACAAAATTTGCCATAGAACTTTTTTCCCCGAGGAAAATTCAATTCTGGAATTAAAAGTTGTTGGAAGGGGTGGGGTTTTTTGTTGTCGTTGTCAGAAGATGGTGTTCCGTAGAGTATTGAAAAAGCCTGTCATGTGAAAGCAGTTTCAGAATTTTTGGAATGTTACTACTGCTTAGGTAAATTACATTTCCTTCAGGACTGTGCTAAGATTTCTGCTGAGAACAGAACTACACTAAGTCAAAATCTATGTATTTAAGCTTTTTTAAAAATAATTCTGTTAGCAAAAATGTTTAATTTTAAAAAAACACGAGTATTTGTTTAAGAATTCAAAAAACTGATCATGCTTCATGTTTTTATTCATGTTTACTTTATTATTTTTTTTTTTTTACAAAATGTGCACATTTAGTTTACACAAACACGCTACAGCAGATTTCAGGTGTACATGTATTGTACTACTCATCCTACACTGGTGATAGCAGAGCAGCCTTCAACATGCCTCTAACATCCCATCTCTACACCAGAATAGATACCTGATTTATTTTTGCAAAAGAGCGCTTGCAACATTCTTTCTCCTTCATTCTTTCCCTTTCACATTGTCTGCAGCAATGTCACAATGAAAATTGACCTATCTCTGATAGCATTTCACCTATTTTGAATTATCGGCATAAACTCTGTGGACGACGCATCTTAAAAATTACATGGTTGCGAGGGGCAATATTGTATTTTAGGTACACACTTTTTTTTAGAAAAGTCTTTCTAGGTTCGGAAGTAAGGTAGCTCTGATCTTAATGAAGAAATGATCCTAAAAAATGTAATGCATTTATCCCATATAGATGATATTATAGAGATGAAGTTTCCAGTTTTCTCCTGCTTCTTTCTCATAATTAAAGGTATTACAAAAAGCTGAAACAGATGTTAGCTTGTCTAGCAGTCATTATCAGTAGATGTTACTACATTGTGATGCTCATTCTGAGCACGGGAGTGGAATGCGAGTTGCAAAAGAAGTTCATGCCTTTTTTCTTCATTAAAGGCAAAAAGACACAAACTCAGGAAAACAGCACTGGGATCCAGTTAAGGTTTCTTCATGAAAAATTTAAAGTCAGAAGATCTTTAGTTTTTAACAAAGAACTTCATGGACACATCCAAGAAATACAGTATGCCGGAGTCCCAAAATGCATATAATGATAAATCAAATGCAGATTTACTAGATAAGTGTGATTGATAGAAGCTTATTCCTATTTGTCAGGGAGTAAATCTACCTATAAGCAATTTATTTATTCTTGTTGTTCTAGAACAGATCTTTCTCTCAAGTTACCTATTTTGCTAATTTTGGGGGCTTTTTTTAAGAAAAAAGCAAGTCAAAGGTGAAAGGCAATTGCAGCAAGATGTGCATTGCACATTGATTATAGCACTTTAAACTCCAAGTATTATTCAAGAAATGAGGACTACACAATACAAATGTGAAAAGAAAATACACAATAATGCCTCTGTAAAAATTAGAAGCTAAGATTTAAGAAACACTCTCTAATACCTGGAGTTTAATCCAGTACAAATGAGTAGCAAAACTAAGAGTATATATTTAATCTCCTTGTGATAGTGTCTATTTTATATAGGGGTTGGAATGATAATAAAGCTGCATAATGCCAGGTCTTACTTTGTTTGAGCTTGGAGTAAAAACCTGTCTTTTCAGAACAATCTTGTTATCTGAGTAGCCACTGTTGAAGTGCTAAATTGTATCATTTAGAAAGTTGGTCTCTTGGGGAAAAGTTTATAATAAAAAGTTTATTTGCATAATACATGTCTCAGTGTAAAGCTGAGTAACTTTATTTATGATAAAGTGGGAATTCCATCTTTTAGATAATGTTGCAGAATAGCTCATATTTGTCCTTTAGTTGTAGACCTAATGTCTTCATTAAATCACATTTTCAAAGAGCTGCATGGATCGCATTATATTCTCATCCTGTAAAAAAGACAACAAAACAAACCAAAAATCATACACCATTACAAATGTAGCTAGCCAACAGCTGTAGTGAAATTGGGTAGAACTAACTATTTTAGTTAACGACAACATTATTTTTCAGCTTGTTTGCAGAAACTGGTAGCAGAAGAAGGCTGTTAACAGATCTACACTTACATAGGGGTTTGTGTCTATTAATTAAACCAGAACTATTCTGTCAAGAATACAAGAGCATGGTATGAAAATTAAGTCTTCAGTACTTTGGAGGTTATAAATTTATATCCAGTGTAACAAAGTACATCTAGACAATAAGTACTCAAAGAATAATTGCTGTATCTGAAGCGTGAATCCATACATGAAGTTGCTAGTCCTGTGTATCGTACACTGGAACCTTTTTGCAATTCTAGGGCGTCCTGTTGCATAGCGAGGGATGACTCCAAAATAAAATAGATTTGAGTGCGCATCCTTCCGTGAACCAAAGAATCAGTCAGGTCCACAAATATGACCAGAATAACCTTGGACTCCTCAGCTCAGGCTTTCTGCATGTTCACAGTGAGAGATACAACCTGCTTTCCAATCCTACTTCTGCTAATTACTTTGTATTAGATAACAAAACCTTTCACTTTCACGTTCTGGATAATGCACTCCAGTTTTTATCAGTAAATAGGTCTCAGCACACCAGTCAGGGAAAGAGGAATTTTTTTATAAGATTTACCTATCAGTGCATAGAATAAAGGGTGGCGCTTCAAGAATTATCACTAAAACCGACATTCATCACACATTATTCACAAGCTTCACTCACAAAAAAGATTGCCCAACACCAAAATCAAAAGAATATTGTCACAACACCGAACAAAACTGGAAAATTCATGCACATATGATACACCTCTCGTCCCTTCACCATAATTATGAGAACATAAATTCCCCAAAATTTTGAATCAACATTTGGTTGCACAACACAGTATCTATATATATATGACACAAGAGTGTATTACATGCTCATTTAACATTTGCAGGTCTCCACTGTAATGATCTTCTTTTTTTAATGTGAATGCACACCCTTTAGTACTTCCTTGAGAGATAATCTACCCATCTTTAAATCTAGTGAATAAAAAGACTGAACTTCAGAGAATATTTTAGAAATTTTTATGAAAGAGGAGCATAAATCCCTAACTTCATAGAACAGTTACCTCGTAGTAGTCTCAACTACTGATAGCTATGTAACTTTCTTTACATTAGTGTTCCAATAACACGTGTCCAGTAGCAATTTCCAGTTAAATTATTCACTGTTCAGTCTAGTGGGTGATTTACTTTGTAGGAAACAACAAGTCTGACCAATTTTCTTAATTTATGTTATGAAACATGCACAATGGGGTTTCTCATTTTTGATTCCTCATGTCATTTCAAGTGTTGTAGGAAGCGATCTGTGCACTAATGTGTGCTGATAAACTCACTCGTGAAAGCAATGATACAATTTTTTTTAAAAAAAAGTAGATTAATGCTTTAAAAGTTTGTGTAGAAAATTTACTACTTTAAATTAGTGATAATTAATATAAACAAAGTTTGTTCCCCTGCACTATATTGAAACCTCAAGATACTATTGAAGATCACTGATTAATGTAAGGTTAAAGTTTGGTTTAACTGGAATCATTTGTCATTTCATTATTTACAGATGTTTTTGTATATACATTGGCAACTAAACTCAGTAAATGTGCAAAACAAAGAAAACAACATGGTCTTAATTTATAAAGTGTTTTGACATTTCCTACCAATTTAATAATATAGATATCATCACTAATGAAATGAATAGTTTTCTAAAATCAGCTCTATATTTCTGAACTTTGCTGTTTCTATACAGATTTCCCAAACCCCTCCTTTAGTCAGTGAAATGGGAAGGGCCTTCACAAGAAAATAAAGGCTTGTCATAATATTTGGAACATGATGACTTTTAGGGAGCTTTTCTTTCAATCTTCAAAAAAGGAAAAAA